TAACCCTAACCCTAACCCTAACCCTAACCCTAACCCTAACCCTAACCCTAACCCTAACCCTAACCCTAACCCTAACCCTAACCCTAACCCTAACCCTAACCCCTAACCCTAACCCTAACCCTAACCCTAACCCTAACCCTAACCCTAACCCTAACCCTAACCCTAACCCTAACCCTAACCCTAACCCTAACCCTAACCCTAACCCTAACCCTAACCCTAACCCTAACCCTAACCCTAACCCTAACCCTAACCCTAACCCTAACCCTAACCCTAACCCTAACCCTAACCCTAACCCTAACCCTAACCCTAACCCTAACCCTAACCCTAACCCTAACCCTAACCCTAACCCTAACCCTAACCCTAACCCTAACCCTAACCCTAACCCTAACCCTAACCCTAACCCTAACCCTAACCCTAACCCTAACCCTAACCCTAACCCTAACCCTAACCCTAACCCTAACCCTAACCCTAACCCTAACCCTAACCCTAACCCTAACCCTAAACCCTAACCCTAACCCTAACCCTAACCCTAACCCTAACCCTAACCCTAACCCTAACCCTAACCCTAACCCTAACCCTAACCCTAACCCTAACCCTAACCCTAACCCTAACCCTAACCCTAACCCTAACCCTAACCCTAACCCTAACCCTAACCCTAACCCTAACCCTAACCCTAACCCTAACCCTAACCCTACCCTAACCCTAACCCTAACCCTAACCCTAACCCTAACCCTAACCCTAACCTAACCCTGACCCTGACCCTAACCCTGACCCTGACCCTGACCCTGACCCTGACCCTGACCCTGACCCTGACCCTGACCCTGACCCTGACCCTGACCCTGACCCTGACCCTGACCCTGACCCTGACCCTGACCCTGACCCTGACCCTGACCCTGACCCTGACCCTGACCCTGACCCTGACCCTGACCCTGACCCTGACCCTGACCCTGACCCTGACCCTGACCCTGACCCTGACCCTGACCCTGACCCTGACCCTGACCCTGACCCTGACCCTGACCCTGACCCTGACCCTGACCCTGACCCTGACCCTGACCCTGACCCTGACCCTGACCCTGACCCTGACCCTGACCCTGACCCTGACCCTGACCCTGACCCTGACCCTGACCCTGACCCTGACCCTGACCCTGACCCTGACCCTGACCCTGACCCTGACCCTGACCCTGACCCTGACCCTGACCCTGACCCTGACCCTGACCCTGACCCTGACCCTGACCCTGACCCTGACCCTGACCCTGACCCTGACCCTGACCCTGACCCTGACCCTGACCCTGACCCTGACCCTGACCCTGACCCTGACCCTGACCCTGACCCTGACCCTGACCCTGACCCTGACCCTGACCCTGACCCTGACCCTGACCCTGACCCTGACCCTGACCCTGACCCTGACCCTGACCCTGACCCTGACCCTGACCCTGACCCTGACCCTGACCCTGACCCTGACCCTGACCCTGACCCTGACCCTGACCCTGACCCTGACCCTGACCCTGACCCTGACCCTGACCCTGACCCTGACCCTGACCCTGACCCTGACCCTGACCCTGACCCTGACCCTGACCCTGACCCTGACCCTGACCCTGACCCTGACCCTGACCCTGACCCTGACCCTGACCCTGACCCTGACCCTGACCCTGACCCTGACCCTGACCCTGACCCTGACCCTGACCCTGACCCTGACCCTGACCCTGACCCTGACCCTGACCCTGACCCTGACCCTGACCCTGACCCTGACCCTGACCCTGACCCTGACCCTGACCCTGACCCTGACCCTGACCCTGACCCTGACCCTGACCCTGACCCTGACCCTGACCCTGACCCTGACCCTGACCCTGACCCTGACCCTGACCCTGACCCTGACCCTGACCCTGACCCTGACCCTGACCCTGACCCTGACCCTGACCCTGACCCTGACCCTGACCCTGACCCTGACCCTGACCCTGACCCTGACCCTGACCCTGACCCTGACCCTGACCCTGACCCTGACCCTGACCCTGACCCTGACCCTGACCCTGACCCTGACCCTGACCCTGACCCTGACCCTGACCCTGACCCTGACCCTGACCCTGACCCTGACCCTGACCCTGACCCTGACCCTGACCCTGACCCTGACCCTGACCCTGACCCTGACCCTGACCCTGACCCTGACCCTGACCCTGACCCTGACCCTGACCCTGACCCTGACCCTGACCCTGACCCTGACCCTGACCCTGACCCTGACCCTGACCCTGACCCTGACCCTGACCCTGACCCTGACCCTGACCCTGACCCTGACCCTGACCCTGACCCTGACCCTGACCCTGACCCTGACCCTGACCCTGACCCTGACCCTGACCCTGACCCTGACCCTGACCCTGACCCTGACCCTGACCCTGACCCTGACCCTGACCCTGACCCTGACCCTGACCCTGACCCTGACCCTGACCCTGACCCTGACCCTGACCCTGACCCTGACCCTGACCCTGACCCTGACCCTGACCCTGAC